CTAAGTAACTAAGTAATTAATTACCTTTGAAAATAAGTAATTAGTAGGGTAACAGGATTACTTTTTTGGGGAAGTAATCAGTAATTAGTTACTGATTACTTTTTTCAAGTAACTTGACCAACACTGCCAATCACATTGTTGTGACATAATACTTTTGCAAGCCAAGGGATTCATTCATTTATGAAATTCCAATTTTGCAAGGACAATATGTATAATGTTTACTGTTCATTAAAGAACAGTATCCTGAAATGCAAAGAATTCAAATTGCTGGATCAGCGGACAGAGGCGGTTTCTCGCTAGTTAAGTAGATTTTTTTTTTACTGCGTTTTTTTCCGAAGTCGCAAAAGTATGACGTCACAACAATGTGATTGGTCACTTGCAATGTTGAACCTGGAACAACATTTATTATGATGATGTGGGACCAACACCGACACGAGGATATCAGATCGTGCCGTCTAAAACCTGCAGGACACCAGCCCTTGAGGCCTGGAGTTGTTACCCCTGCTCTAAAATAAGCACGACAGCACAGCTTAGAGTTGTACAAAACGCAAGACTTCTGGAACGATGTCCTTTGGACCTACAAACCAGAGTGGACCTGTTTGTCCATGATGCACAGCAGCACATTTGGAGAAAACCAAACACCTCATACTGACTGTGAGCACGGTGGTGGAGGGACGGTCTGATCTATATAAATGAAACTCAAGTGAATGATCTCCTCTGTATATCTGGAGTTCTAGAGTTAAATGCGAGGCTAAAGCTTGGACTAAACTGGGTCATCAACAGGACAAAGATCCCAGCACACAGCAGCAAACCTCAAACACAACGGCTGACAAAGAATCGCTGGTGGTGGACCTTCAGGGACCTGCGCATAAACGAATGCTGCAAACCTCAACGAGCTGAAGCAACGCTGTGAAGAAGCATCTCCCAGATGTCCTCAACAATAATGTGAGAGATAAATTCACACAGAAAACCATCGCTGCAACTTACTGCTGCTAAAAGTTGGTCTACAATCATGCGAGTACCTATGTGGTAACCTAAACATCATCAGCATTTCAGTGGACAGCACAGTACACGAGGTTGTGGAGGTTTTGGTAAAACTAACCAGCAGTTAGTTCACTGTAATGTTTGTGTTAATGAAAGAGAAAAGGCTGCACGAGCCTCGGTCTGTAGTCACCGTCAGTCTCTCTCCTACACACGCCCTCTTTTTCCCGAAGGATACAAGCAGCCATTGTGCAGCTCATCTCTTTAATGGAGTCTCAGACATAACCTTATCGGGACATATAATCTTTATGGGACATTTCTCAAATTCCCCGCACTGACATCAGAATAAAAGTGAAAGGAATGCTAATTACTCAACACCCACAAGCAAATTACGGGAGACGAAGGGGAAAAGAGTCAGAGGGAGAAGAAAGGAGGTCATGGGGTAGAGAGAAAGAGAGAGAGATGGAGTGGGAGATAAGTGGGAAAGAGTAAGAAACAGGGAGAAGATGAGAAGTCAGGAAGCCAGTATATCCAATCAGAGATTCTATTGTTTCTGCTATTAATAATGTATGAATAAATGCCAGGCGGTATGCATTCGATTAGTATAATTAGACACCCAGGGCTATACAATTTCATTGGACAGCAGAATAAGTAGGTACACCAGTATTAAACCAAGTGTGTGTGTGTGTGTGTGTGTGTGTGTGTGTGTGTGTGTGTGTGTGTGTGTGTGT